AACTTTTCTTCCCAGATGTAAGACCTATCACTTGTATCAACCCAGTCTCCACATATCAGTTCTCCCCCAAGACATATGCGCCCTTCTATTATTTATTAATATATAGATTTAGACAAGCCTAAAAAAGAAGCTCCTGGGATGGGTTGTTCAAAGCCCAATTAAGCTAACCCAGGATAAATGATGAGAGTTTTGTAGCTTTGCAGTGACATTTGGTATCAGTATAGTTTGGCTTCTGTTTTGAGTTTGCATAGTCTTAAAATACACAAAACAAAAGCAGTGAAAAACAATATACAAGACAAATATACAAGTCAAATTTACACTTCAGTTAACTTTTAATCCTGGGTTAGCATTAACCGGCTTCCGGACAATCCAGCCCAGCCGTTTACAACAACTGAAGATGACCTGACATGAGCCTGCGATCCAATCGAAAACCAGCACTTGGTCAGCAGTCAACTTCAAGAATGCTTGACCTTGATGAGGTCTCAGGAGTCTGCGATGTGGTCATATGATACTGGACAACACATACCTTCTTTTGGGAGGTGTCAATTGACCATAACAGGGATGTCCAATATCACAGAAGGATGTTATGCATGTAAACCAAGGCTGCATGTCTCTGTGGTCCTATTAGCTAGAGTATGGCCACTATCTTGTGGGACTCTGTTGCTGTCACCATTGTGTCGCCCTCGCCATTGTGGGTACAGTGTACGTGCCCACAAGCAATACTGCTAGCCATGATAACCTTGAGAAAATCAATTCATGGTTTTCCTTTTCTTTCATTTGAATATAAGCCCCTCCTTTAGATGTTGTACCTCTTTTTGCATATAAGCCATCTCACAACATATTGGCCTTCTTCGAATGCAAGCACCTTCTCCAGATGTTGTCCCTCTTTTTGCATATAAGCCATCTCATGACATTGGCCCTCTTCTCAGATACAAGCCCATTCTCCAAATGTTGTCCCTCCTCTTACATATAAGCCATCTCACAACATATTAGCCCTCTTCTTAGATATACATGTAAGCCCCTTCTCCAGATGTCATCCCCTTTCCTACATGTAAGCCATCTCAGGACATGTTGGCCCTCTCTCCAGATACTGGCCCTTTTCTAAGATGTACCATACGCCTTCTAACTACATGTTGGCCCTCCCGTCAGATGAGTCCGTTCTGCAGATATTGAATTCTCTCTCCACATGTTGACCCTCCTTGAGGTATGATACTCACGCCCAATATTGTCCTCTTTTAAGGTATAAATCCTATCTCTGCATTTTGGTGTACTTCTTGCAGGTGGATCCTCTTCTCAGATTTAAGCCATCTCCCCATGGTGGAGGGAAACTCTAAGCTTTGAGGAACAGATAATGTTCAAGGAAAAATATCCGAGCAGTTTTTTAAAATCAAATGGGGACTTAAGTGTTTGGTATTCCTCAAATGTTTTTTGCAACCTTAGATATAACCCTGCTCCTAGATAGAATCCTTTTCCCTAGACATAAGTCCTCTCCTCCTAGATGGAAACCCTCTAGAAACATAAAAATAAAGTTAATGTTCTCCCTGGATATATTCTCCCTTCCATGATATAAGCCTTCTCCCCCTATACACAAGCCTTCTCCCCTAAGATAGTAGCCCTTCCCTTAGATATAAACCCTCTCCCTAGTTGTGTATGTAAGCCCTTTCCTTAGATATAAGTCTTCTCCTTAGATATCGACTCTCTCCCTAGGTATAAGCTCTTTCCCTAGACATAAGCTCTCTCCCCCTAAATGTAAGTCCTATTACTAGATATAAACCTCCCTAGATATGTATGCCCTCTCCCTAGATTTCTTACCCTCTTACTAAATGTAAACCCTTTCCCTAGATATAAGCCCTCTCCCTAAATGTAGACCCTATCTCCCAAGATGTATGCCCTCTTCGAAAATATAAACCCTCTCCCTAGGTATAAGCCATTTCCCTAGACATAAGCCCTCCCCTTCTTGATGTATGCCCTCTTCCTAGATATAAACCCTTTCCCTAGATATAAATCCCCTCCCTAGATATAAATCCCCTTCCTAGGTATAAGCCATTTCCCTAGACCTAAGCCCTCCCCCTCTTGATAAATGCCCTCTTCCTAGATACAAGCCCTTTCCCTAGATATAAATCCCCTCCCTAGATATAAACCCCTCCCTCGATATGAACCCCTCCCTAGATATAAACCCTTTCCCTAGATATGAACCCCTCCCTAAATATA